GAATGCCAAGTCCCAAGTTCTTTGGGAAACAGTAAATTACACAGATAAGAAGTCATAGACATTAAAAGACAGTTCATCTTTCTCAACTGTTGCTTCAACTGATAGGAGTACCATGCAAGTAGCTTACTTTTCATACTGATTAGAGGCATCCATTTACTGACATAATGCTAAGATTTTGCATAAATGATAAAATAAACATGATAAAATAATATGATAAACATGATAAAATAAAAGCTCTGATAGTATTACCGCATTACCAGAAAGTGCTTGCAGCAACTTCCAGTGGAGTGGGGATGTCACCTCTCATCATGGCTTTCTGTCCCTTCAACCTGTCATTGAAAAACCCCAAAACCAAAGCCCACCCAAATTGGAATCAATCATAGAATCGTTTAGGTTGGAAAAGACCTTTAAGACCTTTAAGATCATCCAGTCCAACCATAACTCATATTCACTGTCTTCTTCCAGTCATATCTCCTGCAAAGAGAGTGCCCCCAAGCATTTACATTGTTATTTTCCCCCATCTGTTTCAGCTCTTTTGCCATGATCACTGCACAGCAGCCACCGTTCCCCAGCAAAACCCAAAGAGTGATGGACTGCCAAACTGAGGAAGAAGAAAACTGTGAAGAGCAGTACGACTCCGAAAACTGCACTTGCAGCTCCAAGTGTGCATCATCAACAGCACAATCCAACTCAGGTTTAATCCAATTTAAATATGGCAATTGCCACAGCATGCTAGCATTTCATATTTTCACTTTTCTCACTCTTCAGGTAGGAGAGAGGCCATTTTTCCTTTTGACCTGTCCCGTCCCCCCCCACATTTCCCCTTATGTTTGTATTTATCAGACCAAATCTACAAAAAGGACTGTCTCCATAATTAAGAGGTATGTTTAAAAAGGTCTCCAGATTTTATTTAGACATCTAAGAATTATTTCTCAATTACAATCAGAGATATGATTACGATACACATTAATTGGGCTGGCACTGTTGAAGCTGTGGTATTACAAATTTCAACAGGCTAAACTGCTCAAACACCTACCAAGGACTCCAGACAGGCATCAATTAAAATCCATGCAAGCCAGAGCAAAATTTTTCCGTGCAGTTAATTTTATATCATTGATGCATATCCTGCTAACAGGCTTCCACCAACAGTACAGTCATTCAGAACAGTGTCCTTGTTTTCAGTGAGATCAGATGGAGCAGTTCAGCAGAGCTCTCCTGAAAAATCTCACCACCTACAAGCCTACTCACTATGATGAGACATGCTAGCACAACTGTAGTACTGACACTCGCTGAACAGCACCATGTATGCCAACGTAGAGTATCTCACAACCCTCCTTTTGTGGAAGAATGGTTAAAAAATAACCACTAAGAGCTAGGTTTTCTTCAATGTAAAGAGTTAAATCCTAAATCCTTCTTTTGTAAAAAGCAGCGTAATGTTCTAGATCTGTTGGCCCCACAAATGGAAACTACAGCGTACACCCCTACATGGCATACTCTTGGCATAGTATGAACAAAGGCATACCCCAAAATGCAATCTAACATGGTCCTGAAAGTCTTCTAGCTGTTATTAGCAGAGTTATACGTTTGCATTAGTGGATTTTTGTAGAAGGCTCATTTCTATCTGTAAATTGCCCACGCAAACACTCAGAATGGCAGATGATGACCATTGCTCCTTTCACTCCCTGGCCAGCCAGGCCATCCACACCTGGAGAGCGATCAGTCTCGAGGCCAATGGCCTGACAACTTTTCTAGTCCATGTGCCTACATTCTATCTTCACAAAATACTTTTTAGCAAGTTGCATATAAACACCTGCATATAAAAATACAAATTGTGTCTCTTCTCTCACAGATTCACCAGTAACTCTTAAAATACTACAGAACTGGGTTCCTAGAGTTTCCCACTACTTTGATAAAGAGCACTACACATATGTTGGCCACCAGATTGTCATTCAGGAGTCCATAGAACACTTTGGAGCCGTGGTGTGGCCGGGGGTAAGTACGTGATATGGCACCCACAAAGCTTGACACGACAGAAGAGTAAACCATGACAGTGGCACACAAATATTAAGGAAGCTTTCTTAGATGACACTTCTGACAGCAGAAGTTTCCCTACACAGAACGAAGTTGTGAAGTACTTCAGCAGAAAGCTCCGCCTTACTCTGATTTGCCAGTCCATGCCAGAAGAACTGTAGCACCTAAGTATTTGTAAATTGGATGCAGATATTGAAAAAAAATGAAGAAAGGGAACTCAGGAAGAAGCGTTCAGCTTCTTCCGTATTTCCAATCAGTCACTGTTGGGAAGCAAACAATCTTACAAAAAGGAGGCTGAAAAAGAAAATTGTGAGATTAAGTAGTTTAAAACAATTAAATATGCTTCTTTTAAAGAACAGGCTGGAACAGTTCCATTGCAGTATGGAAAACCATACTTGCAAACAGTTCTTCAGTCTTTGCTTCTCCTGCTCTTAAAACCAGAATTTTATGTGGACTGAGAAAACTGCCTTTGAGGGAAGAGAGGGTCAACTAATAATGACATGAAAATTAGGATTTCAAAAATTTTCAGATCCACATTTATTGAAAAAGCTCACAGAAAATGGCAGACAATTTCAAAACAATAGAGAAAAAGAAAATGCATGCCTGGGTGAAACAGTATCTTATTTTGAAATGTCAGATCATCAGTTCTCACATTAATCAGGTGTCAGAGTGCAGATGGTAAAACTTCCCAAGAAAATCAAGAGGTGCACAAATTGGACTGGTGATTCATTAGCTGTCAGCTTTCCCAGAGCAGGGTGCCAGTGTTGCATGATGAAAAGCACAAGAGTTAAAACAGTAACACAATTCTAAAGAAGAGAAGCAAAAGGGGGAAGTTAGTTTCTTTGGCATCAGTTTATGTTGTTTATAAACAGCTGATTTATGTTCTATTGATATGATATTTACAAAGGTCTGACAAGCAATACTTCCATACAGTGCAGTTGTTTTTGTTTGTTTGTGTTTTGTTTGGTTTTTTTTAAAGTTTATACCATTAGCAAAGTGTTGAGTTGATAAATAACAAATTTTTATTATTTCCTTTGCAAAAAAAAAAAGTAAAGCAAAGAAAAAAATCTGTTTTCAAAGCAATCAGTGCTGAAGCCTGAATCTACTTTATGATAGCAATAATAAGCCATAACATTTATGATGATAAACTAGAACATTACTTTTTACATATTGTTAAACCACTTTTTTGCTGTTCTAACTGTATGGTTCACATCTAAACACTGCCTATCTTAAGCTGTCAGAGGACTCACAGTGTATAGAAGAGTGTAGCAAATCCATATCCCATAAACCTAAAACTAAAAATAAGGTGTTTAAATTTTTTTTTTATATATATATAAGAAACAGGACACGTGGTAATTCTTTCCATATTACATTATGTTACAGCCTTCAGTGTTTTTCGTTGTATTAAAAAGAACTCCCTGTAGAAAAACATCTAATGAATTTTTGTGCAACTTACCTGTTACCCTCTTATGGATATGTGTTAACTGTTTTAGGCACTGGCTTTATCTCAGTATCTGGAATCAAATCAAGAACAATTCAACCTCAAAGA